TTTAGTTCCTTACTAAAGCAAAGTTAGTATTAGAAACTAGAAAAGACCCTATCTACTATACTAGAGAAACTAAACTATAAGAACGCCTTATCCCTTACTACTTAGATATATAACACCTAGAAGATTACTAAAGAAAATATAGAAAGAGCTTAAGACTAAATACACTCTACTACTAATTACTATTACTATCTAGTTAACTAGAAGGTTAGTAACTATATTTATCTATCTACTACTAATCTTGCTATTTTATAACCTAGCTAAAAACTATCTAAATAATAGGAAGGCCCCTTTAAGGTATTAGGATAAGTAGGAAACGTGTATTACCTCTAATTACTACCTAGTTCTAAGATCTATAATATTTTTTCTCCTAATATACTATATAAAGATCCCTAAGACCTATTACCTAGATAAGAGGCTCTAAAACCCCCTAGTACCCCTATATAAGGTATAGAGGAATAGGAGGTAGAAGAAATCCTAGCTAGCAAATTATATTAATCTAAGCTAAAATATAAGGTTAAGTAGGTTAGATATAATCCTAATCCTATTTAGTATCCTACCTCTAACTTTATAGGTGCTCCTTATAAATTATAGGTATTCTACTAATAGTATCTAAATTAGCTAGGTCCCCTATATAGCTTACTAAAATAGATTTAAGCCTAGGAAAAAGGTAAAAAGGATCTAATATTACTTTATAATAATTATACCTAATATTAGAACTAATTTATATCCTATTTAGCTATATATTATCTATTAACTACTATCTATTACTATTATTCTTATTACTATTTATTATTATATCCTATTTAGATCCTTTAAGGTTCCTAGGACACTACCCCTAGGAAACCTCTTTATTCTATATCTATCTCTCTATTAGAACCTAGTTTAGACTCTATATTAGCTAAGATAGCACCTAGACTATCCTTCTTTACTAGCTTCTAGATAACTAGTATAGTAGGGATTAGAGCAGGTATAGGAGTAGGGATAGGAGCTAGGACTAATTTAGATTCCTTTTTATAAAACGCCTTTATCTTAGCCTATACTAAAAAGGTTACCTCCTAATTTAGTACTAATTCCTCCTTAAGTTCTTTAATAGCCCTTATTAAGCCCTTAACTACTAAGACTATCTTATAGATACTATTCTAAAGCTAATATAAATTAGATATAGTAGTATAATATATAGCTATAAGGATCTTAGTAGCTTCTATACCCTTAGTCTAAGTATTAGTAATAGTAACGCACTTAGTAAGGTTTTAGGTAGTTTCTTAAATAGTAGCCTTAAACTACTTAATATCCTTTTAATAAGTAACTATAGCCTTATTATCCTTATCCCCTTTAGTAGGGTTTCCTATTAAGCTATAGTACTCTTCTAGGGCACCCCTAAGGGTAGAGTACTCTTAGCTAATAAAAGAAGGAATCTACTAGGATTAGTAAAGGAACCCTATTAGACTTAGATACTTACTAGATTATAATACTTATTCTAGGAGATATAGTACTAGCACTTCTTAGAATTCTTTAACTTAAAATTAAAATTATTAAACCTACCCCTAGCTAGAGCCCTAACTACTCTTATATAGAGAGCGCGATAAGTAATAGGGAGGACTCTTAGTAGTACTAGTACTAGTATAGCTAAAGGTTCTAATTTAGATTAGTAACTATTTAATTATATAGATTAAATACTTACTAGATTTTAGATAGATTAGGTTAAATATTTAAAAAATTAGGGATATAGGAATAAGAAAGTTAGTAGGTAGAGGGCTAGTTATATATAGGCTAGGGATAGGGGTCTATACCCTAGGAAGAAGAAGTAAAGGTAAAGGTAGAGGTAAAGGTAGAATTATTTTGCAAAAAGCTCTTCTTTAATAAGGGATCTAAACCTAATCCTAAGGATAGGGACTATCCTTTCTCTATAGGAGGGGGTAGTATAATAATAAGGTAGAATTACCTACCTATTATTCTATACTAAGTTAGGCCTAATAAAGGCCTGACTTACTAATATATATAGAGAATAGCTCGCCTATAGTTAGGATAGGCATGTTCTTCTTATCCTTTTGTATAAGACCTATAGGTGTAGGAATCTTATCCTTTTCTATACAGACGCGCACTCCTATATGCCTTTGAGTTATATAGGATACCTTTTGGATGCCCTACCTACCTAAGTCGTTACAATTACTAGCGTAGTCTACTTTAGTAGGTAACTTAAGTAGCTTATAATAGAGCCCTATAAACTCTATTATATACTTGTTATCTACCTAAATATAACCTTTATATTATTACCTAAACTTAGCAGAAATCTTTAAGTGTAGATAGGCAAGAATATCCTTATTAAGGTGCTAATAATAGAGGAGAATCCTAGGGTTATTATATACTAATTCAAGCGCGTTAATAAGTACTTAATCCTAATTAGTTACCTAAAGTTATATAGATATAGAGTGCTTAGTAAATAAGTTATAGAGTTAGGTAAGCACCTATAAAAAAGTAGCCTTGTCTTAGTAGTTAATAAGCGCAACCCTAAGGTAGATAGTTTAATTATAACTGCTTAAGCCTACTAAATTTAGTAGTAGAAAGTTATATTTATTTATCTTAAAAGTGTAGTTAATAATAAGCGTGTTAGGTAACTTTTTTAGCAGTTAAATATAGCCTAGGTAGATAAAAATAATAGTAGTAATATAGTTATCTAAATTAACACTATATCTATTTTATAGTATTAGCAAGGTATAAGCTATATATAGACTACTAGATAGTCTATATAGTATATTTAGGTTTAAAATAAATAAAAAATAAGAAAATTAAAACCTTAATACTATAAGAAATATTATAGGATATTATAATAGTTAGTGTTATTACTATATATAAACTATATAGGGGCCTATATATAGCTAAGTAAGTAGGAGTAACACTAAAGTTTCCTTAATACTAGCAAAATAACAAGGTGAGCGACGAGCTAAAGGGGGCTGTAGGATCCACCT